GTGGTGATGGGGGAGATGGGCTTCCCCCCTGCAAGTCTCGCAGGGCCCCCACTTGTAGTTTTATAATTGTAGAGACAGTTGAACTTAAAGAAGAAAGATGCGGAGGTTCTCAGATTTTTTTATGCACCTGCGCAGTTCTGCCACACACCCACTTCTGGTCATGGGGAGCTGTGTGCGAGTACCTGCGTAGCAGTCCCCTGGCCAGAGTGCCTGGCCGCTTCCCCTCCCCCGTACCCTGTGGGTGTGTCAACTAGAGAAATGTGGGTTGGGACCCTTCCCACCTCTCGTCTCCCGGCAGGCATGGAAGCCATCATGTCGCAGTTCTTCAACGACACCACCACGGCCTTCTACATCATCCTGATTGTGTGGTTGGCCGACCAGTACGACGCCATCTGCTGCCACACCAACACCAGCAAGAGGCACTGGCTGAGGTAAGGATCCTGCGTGGGCAGCCGCATCGGGGCCACAGGGCCTCTCTCGGGGCTGTGGGCGGGGTGGGGTTGTGGGATTAAAAGAGGAGTCATGCTTCACCAGACATGAAACTGCCTTACTCCGAATCGGACCCGCGGTCCATCAAAGTCAGTCTTGTCTACTCAAACTGGCAGCAGCTCTCCAGGGTCTCAGGCGGAGATCTTTCACATCACCTTCTCCCTGGTCCTTTTAACTGGAGATGCCGGGGATCGAACCTGGGCCCTTCTGCATGCCAAGCAGACACTCTGCCACTGAGCCACGGACCCTCTTTACAGCTCTCCAAGAGCTCAGGCGGAGGTCTTTCACATGACCTGACGCCTGGTCCTTTCAACTGGAGATGCCGGGGATTGAACCTGGGACCTTCTGCGTGCCAAGCAGACGCTCTGCCACTGAGCCACGGACCCTCTTTACAGCTCTCCAGGGCCTCAGGCAGAGGTCTTCCACATCACCTCCTGCCTCGTCCTTTTAACTGGAGATGCCAGGGATTGAACCAGGGACCTTCTGCGTGCCAACCAGATGCTCTGCCACTGGCCACAGTCCCTCCCCCTAAGGGGGGGCTCCCCTCCTCCTCCCAGAACCACAAGCCAGCCTCCCCTTTCCATCTGCAGACGGCCCAGTGAAACATTCCCTCCCTTAAGACCAGCCAGCTGGGGCCGAAAGGTGTGTGTGGGGGGATGCCTAGGAGTAGAGCACCCACACTCCTTTCTTTGGTCTCTCCGGGATGATAGGCATGGCCTGGGAGTAGAGACACCCCCACCCCACCCCACCCAGTAACTTTAATAATTATTGTGTCCCCTTGCCATCTTTTTTTAAAAAAGAAGCCCCTGTGCATGGGTGCCAATTGCGGCAGAAAGACTGTGATTAAATGTCCCAAATAACACACTTTAAAAAAATACAAAACACAATTTTATTAGGATATAATAATAAGTAAAATTTTATGTCATATAACAAACTTTTCATATCCTTTTATCCAAATATCTCCCCCCCCCTTCTGACTTCCCACAGTGCTCAAACCTCTATTACATTCTTGAATTTTTTCTCTTTTTCCAATTCTTTAACAACATAATTCTTTCAGGTAGCGTATCTTTTTATCTGTCTGTCTATGCATGTTTAAATTTAATCTAAATGTCTATCCAACCTTAGTAATTGTCAAAGCAAAATAAATTGTTTTTTACATCCCAGTATTTCTCCAAGTAGTCTTTAAAGTCTTTCCAATCTGCAAAAAAATCTTCTGCTTCTTGATTTTTCAGCTTTCTCGTCATTTTGTCCATCTCAACCATAAAAAGTAACTTTTTCAACCATTCCCATATCGGGAGTTCTTTCTTGCTTCCAACATTGAGCGTATATCATTCTGGCAGTTGTAATCATATACCACATTAAAGTCCGTTTTGCTATATTAACTTCCTCCATTTTAAGTCCCAAAAGGAACACTTCAGGTTCCTTCTTAATTTTACATTTCATTATTTTTTCCATCTCTGTATGGACCTCAGTCCAAAAATCTTTTGCTTTCACCACATATGGTAAAAAGAGCCTTCTATTTTTTTACATTCCAACATTTGTTTGATAAATTGTTACTTATATTCGCTATCTTTTTTGGTGTCATATACCATCTATACATCATCTTATAACAATTCTCTTTTAGATTATTACATGTTGAAATTTTCATTGCATTTTTCCAAATAACACAATGGCTGAGGGGAGCTCCACGGACCAGGGGGCCTTCCTCCCGCCTGAGGCACAGAACAGGAAGACGTGTCCAGTGTGGTGGCATAACACCCTTCCTCCGTACCCCCACATGATAACACAGTCCGGGGAGTCGCCTTTAACTACTCTTGCCAGGCTACGCCTTCCCAATCTCGATGGGGTTTCTGACTCCTTTGGTGGCACTTAGCTCAGGGGTCCCTGACGTGGCGCCCACCGACACATTTTCTGGTGCCCGCCAAGCGCTTTTAGAAAGTGGGTGGGCTTTGGCCCAGTAGGACTTCTGACTGGATGTGCACATTGAAAGGCATCCTATCAGCAGAGCTTCTGCCTGAAATGTTGACGTTGCTATTAGAGTTAGTCATAACCTCGCTCCCTGACATTTTGTGGTTGGCTGCGATTCCCGGCGCAGCCCTTTTGCGGCTGCACCCACCACCCTGGGGTAAAATTCCAAAACTGCCCGCAGGCTGGAAAAGGTTGTGGACCCCTGACGTAGCTTGAGTCCTCTCCCAGCTGTGCATCGGCCATATGGCATGATTGCGGCTAACTGCGTTTCCAAAATGCTGTCCTTACCCCCCCCCCTTCCTCCAGGCCAGCATTGTTTTAAGCCTGGGGTGTCAAACATACGGCCCAGGGGCCGGACGAGGCCCCCAGAGGGCTTTGATCGGGCCCGCAGTGGAACTGGCTGTCTTCTGCTTCTTCTTCCAGTTCTGCTGCTGCTGCATCATCGTAGGTTTGCAGCTTAGAGATACACACCTGAACAGCATACTCAAGATTGCAACAGCACAGACATTTTGATGCAGTAATTCAGAGCAAGAGGTGTCAGTTCTCAGACACTGTTAAATAAACAAAATATTGCAAGAGTGCTGATGTTTTAAGCATGTTTTTATTTTAAGTAAAAAAAACCTCTTTGTGTTTGTGTCCTTTATAAAGTTTATATCTCTGCTACCTGGCATTATGTTTTGACACACATGGCCCGGCCCGACAAGGTCTCATTTATGTCAGATCCGGCCCTCATAACAAATGAGTCCGACACCCCTGCTTTAAGCGGTCAATTGTCTTCCCCTGCTGTCATGAGTCCCATGTGTCACTCCTGCAACCTGGGCCCCCTTTCAGTTCTCTAACCTGCCTGCTTGTGGGTGTTGCTGTATGCTGGAAGAACAGCCGTGAGAGAGTGACCCTTTTCTGAAGTCCGAAGCTGAGAGTGGGAAAATACATGTGTGTGTGTGTTTGACCGCAGTTCATTTTGCGTTGATGTGACCTTTGTCGTCATTCTTTGCCATCCAGGTTTTTCTACCTGTACCATTTTGCTTTCTACGCCTACCATTACCGATTCAACGGGCAGTACAGCAGCTTAGCTCTGGTGACCTCGTGGCTTTTCATACAGGTAAGGACGCTGGGTTCTGTTCGGTTTTCCAGACAAGGACCCCCCTCAAAGAAAGGGGAATCGTTGGAGCCACGTAGAATGTAGAAAACATGCCGAGTGTGAGGCCCAGCTGTAGCACTCTGATAATGTTGGGCGCTTGGGGGAATGTCACTTAAATACAGTGGGAAAGAGAAGTGGCAGCTGCCGCTGGAACAACGTTGTTTTCACCTGCCCAGGCAATTGGACCTCCAGTGGCCAATCAGAAGTCAAGCTGGATGTGCCACAATGTTCCCTCTAAGCTCCCCAGTGCTGTGAGCAGAAATTCTACCTTGTGATCAAAAAAAGCTTAGTAGCATTGAAGTTGTGAGCGAGTCTATATTTGACTATCACATAAATTATTTGTTTGGGAAGATTACTTCCAGAACTTTGTAAAAATCTCAGGATAAACTTTTAAAAATTATATTTAAGATCTATTTTAAGAATAATTTAAGCATTAAAAGAGAAAACAGAATCAAGTCAAATTTCACCCTCCCCTTTCCACCATATTGGTAGACCCTATCCTCCGGGGAACAGGTCTCCCCACCCCTAGTCTACTATAGTGGTAGACCTGGCCCCTGGAGAACAGGGCTACCCACCCCTTTCCACTTTATTGGTAGACCTGGCCTCCAGAGAACTGGTCTACCCACCTTCGTCCACTAGACTGGTAGACCTGGCCTCGGACCGTCACCCTGTGCCGAGCCTTAGAAAACATACCAGCACTTAGGGGGGCAAAAACTCTTGCAGTCTAATTTGTGTTTTCAGTGAACGATGACAACCAGCGTTACAGGTCAAGTGTAACAGAGGAGGAATGGTCGCTGTCAGATCCTCGCCTAAACCTAACAAACTGGAAGTTGCTTTAAATGTTACCAACCTGCCCAAACTACTTATTTATGCAAATATTTATATCCCACTTTTCCCTGTGACTCAAGGCAGCTTACAAATCATGCTGAAAAGCATAATAGGGGTGTGCAATTTTTTTTTTTTAAAAAAATCATTTTTCCAACTCTATTGTAGCCTATGGGGACCATTATAGTCAAGGGGCCCCATAGGCTATAATGGAGACTCAATCTGGGGCGGGGCCCCCCCTGTTTTTTGAGGTAGAGGCTCCAAATTTGCAGCATAGCTGCTGGTGCCTCTCCTCGAAAAAGCCCGTCCAAGTTTCAAAAAGATTGGACCAGGGGAGGTTCCCCCATCCTCCATTTTTTTTCCAAAAGAGGGGAAAATGCCTTGTGGGCTGAAAGCAGTAAGCCTTGCACTGCCTGTTAGAATTCTGTGTGCCACCACCCCCTAGCGCAGTGTAGAGGGAACTATGCACCTGACCACCACCCACTTTCTAAAAAACACTTTGCGGGGGCTAGGAAAGATGTTAGCGGAAAGCCTGGCACCCACGGGCCCCACGCTGGGGACCCCCGTTCTAGACCCTGAACTTGCAGAAGCGGGGAGAGGGGAAGGCTGGGTTGAACAAAGATTTCTGGAGATGGCTGCTCAGTGCCCCGCCACACTCCCAGGACCAGCAGAAGCAAAAGTTGGTCCAAAATCTACTTTTCGATGCCGTGGGGAAAGGTTGGGGGGGCGGGGCGTGAGGGTTCCAATCGCAACCTTTTCGTCACATGGAGGGCTGGGTGGTCAGACCTCTTGTCCCCTTTGGCTGAGCGGCTCAGACCCGGGAGGAAGAACAGGCAAGCAGAAGGGGCCGGGCTGGGGGAGGGGGGGAGTAAAGGGGGTTTCCCACAGGGAGCAGGCAGAGGTGCTTGTGGGGAGGATCGCGTGCAGTGAGGAGGGGCCTGTGCCGGGCTCCGAATGGTGGCACTGGCCAGGAAGTCAGGATCCGGGAGGGGAGTCCCGAGTAAACTAGAGCATGGTGACTTCATTGGAGACAAGTCCCGGTTGTGGATCGCTCTCCACGGTGGCCCCTTAACGCCTGCCTCGCTTCCTCCCCCAGCATTCCATGATCTACTTCTTCCATCACTACGAACTGCCGGCCATCCTGCAGCAGATCCGGATCCAAGAGATGCTCCTCCAGAACCAGCAAGTGGGCACGCAGACCACCCTCCAGGACAATCTCAACAACAACACGACAGTCGCCCCCACCGAGCTGGGGAGCAGGCCGCCCTTGCTGCCCGCGGGCCCCGCCGGAGAAGGGGGCAGCCCCCTGGCATCCGGGGAGGGCCACACCACGGCCGCTAGCGCCTCTCTGGGGGGCAACGGGAACTGGGTGGCAGAGACGGCGGCCGTCATCACCGAAGCCGCCTTCCTCTCCAACTTGAGCGCCTCCCTTTTGGACGCGAGCACCGTGCCCAGTGCCAGGGCCGGCGGGGGTTCACAGGACTTGGCAGCGGCTGCCTCAAATGCGGCGGCCCTGATCCTGGTTAGTGGTGATCCTACGGAGACTCCCACGGGGTCTCTTGCCACGGAGGCTACTGCTCCACCAGCCGTGGCGGCCTCGACAGTCGAGACGTCTTCCGCAGAGCAGGTGCCCACCGCTTCTCCCCTTCCTCCGTCTCACGAGGGTGCCCCCGGGGCCCTGCCCGAGGGCTCGGGGGACCACGCCAAGTCTCAGGGCACAGACTGCACGGCAGGCCCCGGCCCATTCAGCTCTGCTTTCCTGAGGCCGAAGGAAGGCCCGGGGGAGGCGGACTCATGCCCAGCGCGGCCGGACAATATGCCCTCCTCGACACCGGAATCCAGCCGCCGCTCTTGAGCCGCTGCCGCCATGGCCTCCAGCAGCCAGATGTTTCTCCCGTTCTCGTCGCTGGCCCCTTTGCCCACGTCTGCTTGCACCCACAATCCCTCTGGATGGGAGAAGCCGGAGTGCAAGAGATCCCCCCCCCGGGGTATAATCTGCCCTTGGAGAAAAATATGAATGAAAACCGTGGGGGGGTGGGGTGGGAGGGTCAGGGCCCCCGACTAAAAACACGCTGGGGGGGGGGGAGGCAGGGTCAGGTCCCCCAGATCCAATCAGAAGCTTCGGATTTCTGCCTCCGGAGCCCCTCCCTGCCTGGACTTCTGTCCCTTCCTCTCCCTACCCTCAGGACAACCCCCCCACCCCCCAAAAAAATCAGCTGAACCCAGGTCTTCTCCTGGTTGAGCATTTAGATTTGCACTGGGACTTTGGCTTTTGGGAGAGAGAGAAGAGGTACCGTGGTTAGACATGCGATGTGGTTTGTATCTGGGTTGGAAAGAATGTGGGGAAGGGGGCAGAGGAGAGGGTGAAAGGTCAAAGAGAGAGCTAGCCCACAAAGGGGAGGGGTGGGGTTGTTGTTTTTTTCCCCCATTCCTTGCATTAAATTTGGAGCTGCGGCAGCTTCCGCCTGAGAAGTTTTGATCCGGCCAGCTCTTGAAGGTCGTCATCTCACAGCAGTCAAATTTAGAGGGAACTGGATGGAGATTTTTAGGGCAGGGGTGTGTGTGTGTGTTAACACTGATACTTGCCTGGAAAGCATCAACGATTCTCTCGGAAGGGTCAGGCTTTTTAGTCTGGGCACGCATCCCGCCATTTATGGATGTATCTGCTGGGGGTGAGTCACCCAACGGGCCGCCGATCCTCAGACTGGTTTTGCGGTTCAGTGCCCTTTCCAGGGGATGCACAGAGAAGTCCGGCGGGCCGTAGGTCTGGAGGTTCAGCAAGCTAGCGTGGGTTTGGGGGAGATGACCCCCGTGGGGGCCGTTTCCTTAAGACGTCCGGAATCCAGTCCGCAGAGAGAGAGAAAAAAAGAGGGCGGGTGGGAGGAACTGTAGACCTTTCCAATGCTTAGAAGCAAGAATCTGGCTGTGCGGAAATTTTGGTCTGTTTTTTGAGCCATCCAACTCTGGCTGTGTTCCAGCCCCCCCCCCATACACCACCCCCACCGACAGAGCCCCCTCCCTTTTGCCGACGCCGCATGGTTACTTGAAACGCCCCCCGTCTTTGTCCCCCAGTGCCTTCTCTCGTGAGATGCCTTCTCTGTATTTCTAAGGCTGCCCTCCCATACATCCAAAGCTACCCTTCCTCGGAAGCCAGTGGATTGATCCGCCTGCCCCTTGCCGAAGGAGCACCCATCCCCGTCGCTTTGAGATGGCACCGGGGTACAGCAGCGGCTGTAGTTGCGGGAACTGCCCCTCCGCTGCCTTTTCAAGACCCACTGATTTCTAGCAATAGTAGAGGAGCAGTTGGGTGTGTGGGAGGGCCTGGGTTCCCCTCTTCGGTAGTGGAGCCGTTTCCTGATGGAATCGCCCTGTCTTTCTCCTCCTCCACCCCGAGGGTGTGTGTCTGAATTGGGCATCTGAGTAACTGTTGAGGCACTGCTGTGTGTCCAGGAAATTCATACCGAGAGGGGATTCACTCTGGACTCATGTAAATGCCTCAGCTTGCATCCTGGATTAGACTCGAGCAGGGGTGGGGTGCCCACAGCCTTCACTTTCGATCAAGGGGCTGGGGGGGGTGCGGCAAAAATTTGGAGGCCCCCACGGATGGCCGAGCCCCTTGTCCGCATCATCCAACCGGGGTGAGGAGTAAGGCAGCCCCTCAGCCCCACCTTAAGAGCAAGGTCCCTTGTACGGAGCCAGCCTCCTCGTCTATCCAGGGTTAGGATTTTAGTTTGGTGGGGTGCAGGGGGGGGGATGTCCGAGAAGGAGGGAATCGAACCAAACCATACAACGAATGAAGAGTAGTGTTCATTCTATTTCATTGTACAAAATGTGTATTATATTATATATATAATAAATACTATATCTTAACAATGTCACTGTATTGCTTTTTTTTTTCCATTAAGAGACCACCGGGCAAAAGTCCAGCAATTCTTTGGGGGGGGGGGGAATCTTTTGCAGCAAGCTATAAACTCTCCAAGGGATCCAGATGCTTCCTGACATCTCCCTACCTCTCGCTTCTTTTTCTGTCGCTACCTTTTCTTGTTGTTGCTTTTGGAAATGTTCATGCTTTCTCCCCCTTTTTCAGAACTCCAGATCTGCCTCCTTGATGTCGGGCTGCCCAGGGAGCACGCTGGCGCTTCCCAATCCATCCCTGCAGAATCCCAACAACACCCAGAGGGACTGTGTGTCCCAAAATGTCAGGGTCCCTTGGATTCTAGGCCTGCCCCACCCTCTGTCTCTTGGGAGTGCAGATAGTCCGGTCCAGACTTTTTTCCCCTTAATGAAAACTTTAAATCTCTTTTTTCCCCTTAATGAAAACTTTAAATCTCTAACATTTGTAGTTTTTGGAGAAAATGCCCCGTCAGAGTTCTGGTCCAGGAGCGGAAGCCGAGAAACGGAAGCTGCGAGTGTAGAAATCACTGGGAGAGGGGATCCTACTTACCCCCTACGTTCAGTTTCTCCCCTTTTGCTGAAGCTAAAAAAAAAAAGAGTATCTGAGAGAGGAGAAAGTTCCGCTGTTCCGTCCAGGACGTTTTCATTCTGGCTTCCCCCAAAGAGCTGAGTGGCATGCGGCATTTTCCCTCCTCACTGCAACAGCCTTCTGAGGTAGGCTAGGCTGAAGGAGCCGGGGGACTTGAACCCAGCTCCCTCAAAACCTAGTTCAGCAACTAACCACTTCGCTCGCTCTTTTGGTCCTGCTGACATTTCTTTTGGCATTAAAAAAAAAGGCACTGCTGTGTGTCCAGGAAATTCATACCGAGAGGGGATTCACTCTGGACTCATGTAAATGCCTCAGCTTGCATCCTGGATTAGACTCGAGCAGGGGTGGGGGGCCCACAGCCTTCACTTTCGATCAAGGGGCTGGGGGGGGTGCGGCAAAAATTTGGAGGCCCCCACGGATGGCCGAGCCCCTTGTCCGCATCATCCAACCGGGGTGAGGAGTAAGGCAGCCCCTCAGCCCCACCTTAAGAGCAAGGTCCCTTGTACGGAGCCAGCCTCCTCGTCTATCCAGGGTTAGGATTTTAGTTTGGTGGGGTGCAGGGGGGGGGATGTCCGAGAAGGAGGGAATCGAACCAAACCATACAACGAATGAAGAGTAGTGTTCATTCTATTTAATTGTACAAAATGTGTATTATATTATATATATAATAAATACTATATCTTAACAATGTCACTGTATTGCTTTTTTTTTTCCATTAAGAGACCATCGGGCAAAAGTCCAGCAATTCTTTGGGGGGGGGGGAGATCTTTTGCAGCAAGCTATAAACTCTCCAAGGGATCCAGATGCTTCCTGACATCTCCCTACCTCTCGCTTCTTTTTCTGTCGCTACCTTTTCTTGTTGTTGCTTTTGGAAATGTTCATGCTTTCTCCCCCTTTTTCAGAACTCCAGATCTGCCTCCTTGATGTCGGGCTGCCCAGGGAGCACGCTGGCGCTTCCCAATCCATCCCTGCAGAATCCCAACAACACCCAGAGGGACTGTGTGTCCCAAAATGTCAGGGTCCCTTGGATTCTAGGCCTGCCCCCACCCTCTGTCCCCTTGGAGTGCGGATAGTCCGGTCCAGACTTTTTCCCCCTTAATGAAAACTTTAAATCTCTAACACTTGTAGTTTTTGGAGAAAATGCCCCGTCAGAGTTCGGGTCCAGGAGCAGAAGCCGAGAAACGGAAGCTGCGTGTGTAGAAATCACTGGGAGAGGGGATCCTACTTACCCCCTACGTTCAGTTTCTCCTCTTTTGCTGAAGCTAAAAAAAAAAAAAAGAGTATCTGAGAGAGGGGAAAGTTCCGCTGTTCTGTCCAGGACGTTTTCATTCTGGCCTCCCCCAAGGAGCTGAGTGGCACGCGGCATTTTCCTTCCCCACTGCAACAGCCTTCTGAGGTAGGCTAGGCTGAGGGAGCCGGGGGACTTGAACCCAGCTCCCTCAAAACCTAGTTCAGCAACTAACCACTTCGCTCGCTCTTTTGGTCCTGCTGAAATTTCTTTTGGCATTTTTAAGGGAGGGGGAGATTATTGTGGATGTTCAAAGGCTGTGTGTGTAGGGCCTCCGAGCATGCGTGGAGTTCCTTTGCCATTCACCAAGGGTTAATAGAATTTTCAAAATGTAGACCCCTAACACTTTTCTTCTTGTGGTTCTCCCCCATGCAGCTGCCGGTGTGACCTTGGGTCAGTCACAAGTTCTCTCAGAGCTGTTCTCTCAGGAGCAGTTCTCGCAAGTGCTCTCTCAGCCCCGCCTACCTCACAGGGTGTCTGTTGTGGGGAGGAGAAAGGAAAGGAGATTGCAAGCCACTCTGAGGCTCCTTTGGGTAGTGAAGGGCGAGGTATAAATCCAATCTCCTCCACAGCTGTGGCAGGCAGACTGCAATTCTCTCTCTGTTAGTGGAGAAAGGGGATGTCCAAAGCCTATTTGGTAAGAACATGGCAATGACAGAATTCGAACTAAGGACCTCCTCCAGGCTGCTCATTTAACATCGCAGCTGGTAGATGTGGGAGGAAAGAGGGTTTTTGCAAAGGAGATGCCCAAACGCTGCTGCACATAAATGGGGAAAGGAAATGCGTCACAAGAGGTTGCCAAGGGCCAAACAGAAGCACTTCTTTTTGGCTGGCTTGTTTGTACCTAGCAACTGCCTTCTGCCACAGTTCTGTCCCTGCCCAGGTCACATTTCGCAGCCGTTCCCAACCTCGTTTCTGATTCTTTAGGGGGAAACGTTCCATAAAGACTGCAGAATCAAATGCTCCGGCAACGGGACAGTGATACGTGCGGGTTTCCAAGGTGGTGCACGCAGAGAACCGCCTGAACATCATCAACGACACTCAAGGCCATCTAAGTTCTGTTTTGAAATCAACAGAAGAAGAAAAAACAGTCTTCTGAAACAAGACCAGGAACACATTCTGTCCCAACTTTCGTGGTTCCAAAATGCTAACTCGTACGTAACGGCCTCTGCCGTAGCCAGAAAGCCTTTTAATCATGTGCAAAAATAATCGGGTCCCGGGGGGGGGGGGGGGGGGGGTCAAGG